TCGCAATAACCTGGATATTGGTTGTTTTGGATATCAAAGATTTTAGAACCTCATGGACAATATTCAGGTCATTACTAAACCTTGACGTGGAACACTAATTGATTTTTTTTTGGAAAAATAAATACAAAAATTTAGTAATTAAAGATTTGTTAGGAATTTATTTTAGTATGTATGTAGTTAGGAGATTACAACTTGGAGAGCAAACTTATAATACAAATATGATACAATATCTAAACATGTATAAATTAAAATATGCATGTTGCAAAATTTCCATAACTAAATTTCGTATTTATTTTTTTATTTCCATAAAAAATATTAAATATTGTTTGCGTTGAAATTAAAGAGTAGCTTTCTTTCTTTTGTTGAAAAAGTAACTAAAATATAAAAATATTTAATCGATTTTTAATTGAATTGATCAATATTAAAAAGTAATTATATATAATTGATTTTTTCTCAACTTATGTGATTCTAACTTTATATTTTGAATAGCTTGATAATTTTTTTTAATTTTCATGTGAAAAAAATATTCATAAATTTTTGTAATTGTAAAATTACATATCAATGATTTTGAATATCTTGGTTAAAAATATATTCATAAATTTTGTAATTGTAAATTCTCACTAATTTTAAAATAAATTAGTTTTTTTTGGTAATTTAATTTTTTTTGAAAACTGTAGAAGAATCCAAAAAAAAAATTTGCAAAGACTTTTTTTGTTAATAATCAATCATGAATTTTATAAATGATAAATAAATATTGATTTTTCATGCCATAAATTTTTTTGAGAGATGTCATGTCATATTTTTTTGGGAGAGTGAATGTGGAGATGACATCTAAGAAAACTTTCACAAATCACTTTCCAAATAATGTATAAGGGATATCTTATGATGGAATATAATAGACGGTAAAAGCATATAAAAATATGACGAAATAAGGGATCGAATGAGGTTTGAAGTCGAAAGAAATTTTCTTTTTTAAATATCAAAAAAGCGGGAGGCCAAGCAAAAAATGTTTAGTATTTTCACTAGGAGAATAACAGAAGAAGGATTTACCGGTCAATCTAATATTAGTTTAAACTATTAAAATTAAATAGGGAAAGATAGTAATAATTTAATTTTTTTTAGTTATCGAATACATA